CAGTTGCGTGTTTTGCATTTCCACCAGCTATGGCCAGGGTTCCAATTTCAGGACATCATTTCAGTGTTTGTTATTTTCTGCTTTTGTGTGTGTGTGCACATGTGTTTGTACTTGTGTGCTCATGTGTTTGCATGTATGTGGGTGTGCCGAAGAACATATGTGGAGACGAGAGGATGACTTGTGGAAGCCAGTTCTCTCCTTCTGCCTTATGGGCTCTGAGCTGCCTCAGAGGTCCTGTTTTTCTGCTTCTGTATATTCACTTTTTCATCCTTGATGGGAGCCATGCAGGTAGGCATGCAGTCCTTGGTGCTGTGACATGTTTTCCACCTCTTATCCTCTAGTAGACTGTGTTTGGCTTGCTGCATGCCTATGATTGTCCCTTAACTGCCAAGATTGAAGAGAGGCACTGAACTTGCATCCTGCCTATGTCATTCATAATAAGAATGGCTTGGTTTGGATGGATTCTTTCATTTGTAATGTGGGAGCCTCTAGAGTTGCTGGAAGGACAGAATAACAGCCATACATGGGACTGAGCCTGACTTATGCTGATGTCTTACTGACAGTTTGCTGTGGTGGTCACGACTATGTCAACCCCCTAAACTATTGAATGAAGGTTGTTAAATGAATCATTGAGCCCTCTGTTCAGTTAGCCTTCTCTTTTGTTCTCACTAACTGTCCCCCAGGCTGCACATTGATTACTCCTGTGATGAGCAAGCAGGAGAGCAGCTGGATCAATGTGCATATTTCCCCGGAAGGATAGGAGTGAATGTTATGGTATTGTTGTGGGGTGGACCTGGGAAGAAGAGGAAACAGTAAGCTTGAAGCCTACAAAAGCAAGAGGATCAAAGAGCTTTGTTTTATTTAAGGCAAGAAACAACTATAAAGAGGCTGAGTCCAGGAAGCTTCCTTGGAAGGTCCAGTCAGTGGCCCAGATAAGGGAAACATTGGGTCTCCCTGCTCTTGAAGATGACAGGAAGGACTCAAGCGGTCCCTGGGTACTGAGGGTTCAGGCAATGGCCTCCTATCCCCTCCCACTTCCTATGAGAATGGCCAAGGCTGAGCAGGCTCCCATGATGGCAGTCACTGAACAGCTTGCCATGGCTCCCATGGATGTCTCTAGAATCCGGCTATGCCACACACCAGCCATCTTACCCTTCATTTTGTTCTTTGAACACCAAGTTTATTCTTTCATGTTTAGGCAGCTTGACTGACTGAGCTATAATTCCCTCCCACCACCACCACCCCAGCTCCACATAGAAGGCACTATGAGTCTTGTAGATTTTTAGAAGGAATGAGGGAGGTGTTGTTTTGCATTACATACCTGGGAAGAGGAAAGTTCATGAGAACCTGGATGACTTCCCCTGGCCTGGGCTCCTCTAGAGTCTCAGCCTTACTCATCAGGAAGACAGATGCACCTGTAGAGTCAGATGCTAAGGATGCTGTGCCCTCCAGGACCCTGGGAACCAGCAGGAGGCCACTAGCAACTATGTCAAGGGCCCGTAGGCTTTTCTTATTACCCAGAGTACCCAGTTTAGCTTTCCTCTCTTGAAAATCTGACCCTCCAGGCTAGGGCAGGAGAAACCTGAAAGAGGAAAGATGACCGGGGACATAATGACAAGGGCAGGTCTCACCAAACAGGTAATGGGAGGTGTTAAGGAAAAAATATCCAATGATACATTTTTTTTTTCAGTCCTGAGGCAGAAGGAACCCTTACGCTTGTTAGGCAAATGTTCTACCACTGAACTACATCTCCAGTCCCATCAGAGACACTGTGTGTGTGTGCGCACGCATATGCATGCGTGCGCACACAAGTGGGTGTACATATTTGTGGGTGTACATGTTTGTGTGGTTATGCACTTGTTTGTAGGTGTGTACATGCTTGTGCACATACTTGTGTGTGTGTGTACACATGTTTGTGGATATGCATACATATTTGTGTGTATATGGGTGTTTACATATTTATGTTTGTGTGTATGTGTCTGCATTGTGTACATGTTTTTGTAGGTGTGTACATGTGTATGTACCTGTTTATGGGTACACATGTGTATATGTGTACATATTTGCGTGCCTGTGTGGTATGCATGTTTGTATGTGTATATGTTTATCTGTCTGTGGGTGTGTCCATGTTTGTGTGGGGGTGTAAATGTGTATGTGTTTGTGGGTATGCATGTTTGTATATGTACAAATTTGTATATATGTGTATGCACATTTGTGTGGATGTATACATGTGTGAAGAGTGTGTTTGTGGATATACACATTTGTGTAGGTGTGTGTACATGTTTTATGTATATGCCTATGTATGTGTTTGTGTGGATGTGTACATGTTTGTATGGGCACATACAAATATTTTTCTCAGTTATGCTCTACCTTAGTTCTTAGTCAGGATCTCTCACTGAACACAGAACTCAGCAGCTGAGCTAGGATGGCCTGTCTGCCAGTGAGCTCCAGGCAGCCTCCTGTCTCTGTGCTCCCCCACCCCCCAGCACCGGAGTGACCATGTGCCACCACACTCAGGTTTCATGTGGGTGCTGGGGATCCAGGGCCATGTCCACATGCTGGTGAAGAGATACTTTACCATAGCCAAACAACACTTTAAAGCGCAGTCATTCAGGCTTAGTCTGGACCATCCTAACGGCACCGGGAACACAGCAATGAGATTTTGTAGCAGGGCAGAGCTTGGGCTCAATCCTCACCCAGGACCATGGAATATGACTGAGGGGTGCCTCCGAAGGAAGAAGGACTCTGCCCAAATCAGCCTTGCCAAAGATTGGCCAGCCCACTGGGGGTGGTGGAAAAGGAAGAACCTGAGACAGCGAGAACTCAGATCCTGATAGCAGGGATTTGGGGCCAGCAAGAGGGCTCAGAGGTTAAGGGTATCCCAAAACTACTAAATAAATAAACAAAATATAATCAAAACAGTAAGGGAAGTGTTCTGGTAAGTAAAGTGAGCAGGCCCTTTGATAAAACTGGCTTTCCACAAGTAAGTACACAGATGGGCCCAGGACTAAAGTCTATCCAAACAAAGAGTCTTCCTCGGTTGCCAAGTGGGAACATGGGCCCAGCACTAGCAGGCCTTCCTGTTTTTCAATCAAAGCAAGAAATCCTATTTTTTAAATGTGAAATCACTTGGTCTTTAAAAGTACATAATAATTAGTAACTATCTGTTTGAAAGTGATGTAAGCCAAACAAAATGCACCCATGGACTGTAGTTAAGTGTGAGGTTGTTTCTTGTTTATAGGCTAACTTGATCCATATAGGATCTGGTTTTGTTGTTTTGTGTTTGAGACGGGGGTTTCACTCTGTGCCCTGGCTGGCCTGGAACTTCCTATGTAAACTAGCTTGGCCTCAAACTCATCGAGATTTGCCTGCCTCTGCCTTTCAAGTGCTGCCATTAAAGGCATGCACCACCATTTTCAGGCCATATAGAAATCTTTTTGTGATAAACATTGTTTTAGAATTGCCACTTGTCATCAGTTTGCTGAAAGGAGTAGATAGAGAACATGGATGGATGCATGCATGTATGCATGAGTAAGTAGATGGATGGATGGGAGGATGGGTACATGCATGGTATGTATGCATGAGTAAGTGGATGGATGGATAGATGGATGGATGGATGGATGGATGGATGGATGGATGGATGCACACATGTATGCATGAGTAAGTGGATGGATGAAACATCTTTAGAGACACATTCTGGAATATTACTAATAAAATGGTGTATGTCTACGGTCGAATGAAGATGTGGAAATCTAGATTGACCGTGAGGTTATCCCTGAATCTGAGATAGTATACATTGAGGTTCCTTGGATGGTTTTGACTTCTAATATGCCTGGAAGTCGACAGTACTAAGGATGTTTATTTTAATGCCCTGATCACATAGAGATGCTTTTGGGAGATAAACAGGTAAAATTACATCCTGCTTGGGACTTAGTTTAAAACAGTCAGCTAATTTTTTGTAAGTAGAGGTAAGTATAGATAAAACATCATTTGGCAAAAGTTTATAATTAATACAGTTGGGCAGTGGGTACATGGAAAATGATTCACTACTCTGAAGTGGCTGGCATTTTTTTTTTTTTTTTACAAATTTTTAAAGCAGAGGCATGAAAATGAGGGCTCCTATTTTCTAGGCAGCATGGAGTCATCTGTCATGGGTACTTTTGTAGATTTTTTTGTGTGATAGCCCTGACATAGAGAGAAAGGGCGCTCTTTGTTAGGAGAGGTAATGTGCTGAGCATGGTTGTGGTAAGGGGTGGGCTCTGTTGTTAGCTATGGGTTAAGAATGGTATCTTCCGAGGTAACTCTCTGCTGGTTACTAAATGAAGTAAATATTGTTGCCTCCTGGACTCATCATGAGGATTAAATTGGTTGTTATATGTAAAGCACTTAGCCCAGAACATGGCCATCACTTCTGTTGTTTTGATGTTGGTTGTTGTTGCTGCTAAATGTCCTGAGAGCAAAAAACACTTTCTGAGATAGGCAAAATAATTGGATGCAGAAACTAGAAGAAGTCAAATATGGCTTAGTCTGTGAAACGCTTGTATTCCTGATGATCCAAGTTCAAGCCCCAGAACCCCCCGTAAAAATTCTGGGCATGGTAGCACATGCTTGTAATCTCAGCATTGGGGAGGCAGAGATAGGAGGATCCTGGAGGCTCACAGGCCATGCAGTCTAGCCTAGTTGATGAGCTCCAGACTCATGAGCGATCTTAACTCAAAGGAGGTAGATGGTGTTCATGAGGATGACACCCAAGTTTATCTGTCCTCTTGCTTCCATACAAACTCACACACATGCAAATACAGGTGTTCCTCCCCCCCCCGCCCCCGCCATGTCTACTTATACATCCTCACCCATGCAAAAGAAGAAGTACAAGAAAGTGGCACCCACTGTCAACTGGCCTACCCTCAGTCACTTGTTCATGAGTTTTGGGAATCAGCTTCCTGTACAGGGAACACAAAAGGAGGAAAACTAACAAAGCAACCATGGGATTTTCTTTCCTGCAGAATGAAGTGGAGCTGGGGGAGCTGCTTCTGTCTCTAAACTATCTCCCAAGTGCAGGGAGACTGAATGTGGACATCATTCGAGCCAAGCAGCTCCTGCAGACTGATGTGAGCCAGGGTTCAGGTACGGCATAATCCCATCATCCTCCATATCTCGAAGGGTTCTCTGTTGTTGAGGGACCCAGTTTTTTTTTTTTTTTTTTGGTTTTGTGTGTGTGTGTGTGTGTGTGTGTGTGTCCTGGATGCTATTGTTGGTGGACAGCATAAGGGTGACCACATAAGAGTAGACAGCATCTAGAAATAGAATGCTAGTTCAAAAAGAAAAAAAAATAAATAAATGATCAGCTATGTGTTAGGTCATCTTGGGAACCCTATCACACCTGACCAGGTATGATAACTTCTGAAATCCATCTTCTTTTGAACAAGTTACTGAGAACTTGCTCCCCCCCCCCACAACACACCCTATGCCTGTAATACAGATGCCATGCTCTAGGTGGCGATAGTGCACAAGTGACTAGGCATTCTGATAGACAAGGTGGGCCCAGCGCAGGGAGGGTGGGGGGAGCTCATTCCCTGTGTACCATAATTCTTTATAAATCCCAGCTCTGAAGGAGCTACTGTGTTGTCCACTTCCTACCAAAGACCAGTTCAAATACATTTAACAAAAAGCCCAGATTCCATTCCATCTGTATGTAGCTTCTTCCATGACAGCTGAGGATGCCATTATAAATGAAGCCATAGCTGCTGGGCTCCCTCCCTTCAGCCTGGTGGTAAAAATGCTATCTCCCACCACCACTACCCCCAGATCCAATAGCCAAAGGAAGTTGTTTGCAATGAGGTGACAGCTGAATCTAGACTGCACCTTGTATCTCAAAAGCCACACTATAAAGTGGAGGCTTCAAGGAAGGAACACTACAGTGACTGGAACATTCCAACTTACCACAATGGAGAGGCGGGATGCTGAAACAGAAGGAAGTCAACCTGCCTGCACAATATGTGTTTGTGCTGCTTGCAAAGATGTGACCTTGGAGAATTACCTAACCTCTGTATATCTCAACTTCATCTCAAAAATTGTAAAATGGTAGTATTTATCTAACTGGACTGCTTAAATAAAAATTAAATTCAATAACCTGCGCAAATCCCCTTTCTAAACTATAAAATGACCAAAGCATGGCAATCCTAATTCTGCCTTCACTCTTCTCCTATGTGTGAGATGTGAGCCCACTGGCTTGTGAATGGCTTTCTGCTTTTGGATAGCCTCCAACCTGGTTCTGCCTCCACCAGCTAGATCTTGAGCAAATCATTCCTTATCCTTAAACCTGCAGTTTCCCCATTTATAACATGAACACAATGCCTAAAACGTGGGGAGGAGTTCAGTAAGTGCTAGATGTGTGGAGAAAGAAGAACAGGAATCCGTAGATAAGAAGATAGATGTGGAAACCAGGGGTGGGTAACAGAACAGTTGGATACATGGGAGAATGATTAAGTGAAAGTAGGGGTGGATTGATGCCTGGATTAACAAATGAATCAATGGGTAGAATGATAGAAAAAATACAAAGAGCTCAGTAGTAGAGCCCTTGCCTAGTGTTCAGGAGACTCTGGGCTCCATCCCCAGCACTGCAGACTATATAGAGATGGGGAGGGGATAGGTGGCTACTCTGTTACATAGATAATAACTTGGATGGAAGATGGATGGATAGACTGATGGACAGATGGATGGGTGGGTAGAATGGTGAATGCTGAGTGTATTAATGACTTGATGGATAGATTGGAATTGGGTGGGCAAAAGAGTAGATGAGTGATTGTATAGATGGATGGATGAATTGGTTGAGAGGCAAAAAATTATGGATGGGTAGATGGGTGGGTAGATGGGAGAGTGAGAAAGTGACACGATGTCTGGGAAGTTGAAGAGATGAGAGGTGGCTAGATAATGTTTCCTTATCTCTAGTATTCTAATGTTGTATCCAATCCTCAGACCCATTTGTAAAGATCCAGCTGGTGCATGGACTCAAGCTTGTGAAAACCAAGAAGACGTCGTTCTTAAGAGGCACAATTGACCCTTTTTACAATGAATCCTTCAGCTTCAAAGTTCCCCAGGAAGAACTGGAAAATGCCAGCCTAGTATTCACAGGTAAGGCAACATCCTAGACCCTGAGGAAACCCTGGTGAGGCATGTTCAACTTGTTGCATAAAAACTGAAGGCATCTAGATAGAGTTACACCTGAGGATCTGGTGTCTGACATTCAGCTTCCTAGATTTGAACCCACTTCCTATCCATAATCTTGGACAATGCCCATAGAACCTAAACACAGTTGTCATTGTCAGGAATATAACTCAAGCTAGATTCCTTGAAACTGCCACATAACTGAGAACTTTGGCAAGTTACTTAACTCCCTGGGCCTCAGTTTCCTTGTCTATAAAATATGGATAATATTAGCTCTTGTGTTATAGGTTTACTGTGTTGATTAAATGATTTATAACCTTTAAATAATATCTGATACATGTTATGACAGCTTTGATGGTGATGGTGGTGGTACTGTTGTCGGGAATGGCGGTGGTGGCAATGATGACAGGGATGATGATAGTGATGGTTGGTGGTACAGACAATGAAAATGGTGGTGGTGATGATTCGATTTGCTGCATTTAATATAAGTATAAAAGGCTGGATGGTAGTGCACATCTTTAATCCCAGCTGTCTGGAAGCAGAGGCAGCTGGATCTCGGAGTTCAAGGCCAGCCTGGCCTACAGAGTGAGTGCCAGGACAGCTACAAGTATATGTATGTATAGAAAAAAGCAAGGTCACCTAACTCAGAAAGAACAGTTGTAAAAGGCGTGGAGAATATAATATTTAAGTACAGGCATCATATACATTTAATCTACTTTACTGGGGTATAATTGTGTTTAATTTTAGAGGTTATTAGTTATTCGTTACTGCATAACAAGTCACCCTAAATTTTAGTAGTATAAATAAATCATCAAACATGTTATAGTTCCTGTCACTCAAGAGCCTGGGCATGGATCTGGGCTTGGGGCTTATGTTAGAGTGCTTGCCTAGTATACATGAGGCTCAGGTTCAATGCCCAGCACCACACAAATCAGGTGTGGTGGTGTTCATCTGTAATCTCACTACTTCAGAGGATCAGAAGTTCAAAGTAGGGCTGGAGAATGGCTCAGCGGTTAAGAGCACTGACTGCTCTTCTAAAGGACCTGGGTTCAATTCCCAGCACCCACATGGCAGCTAACAACTGTCTATAACTCTAAGATCTTACAGCCTCACACAGACATGCATGCAGGCAAAATACCAATACCAATAAAGTAAAAATAACTAAATTTAAAAAGTTCAAGGTCAGCCTGAGCTACATAGCAAGTTTGTAGATAACCTGGGTTACGTGAGAAATTGCCTTAAAAAACAAACAAACAAACAAACAAAAAAGCAACTCTGTCAGAGCTCTAATGTGCTCTGTAGTTCTAGCTGGTCTGGCACCCCCTCCAGGAGTCCTGCTCTGGGGCAAGTGGAAATTCTCCTCTGTTTAGATACTGTTGAAAGTTCTTGTCTCTAGGTCTTTCATGAACTCTTGCTCTGGCAAAAATGAGATGCTGAAGAGATGGCTTAGTGGATGAGAGTCCTCACTGTACTAGCATGAGGTTCAAATCCCAGCACTTGTATAAAAACCAAGCATGGCTGCATGAGCCTGTAACCTCAGCACTAGGGGGCTCTTTGACAATGATCATCAGATTCTCAAGGAAATAAGAAGGTGAATGACACTCACCCTCCTCCTCTGGGTTTTATGTACATATGCACCAGTATACACACACAAACACAAACACACACACACACACACACACACACACACACACACACACACACACCAATGAAATTTTCAAAGAGAAACTTGAAAAGGACATTTTTGAAGTTATTCACGAATTCAACATGTATACACCAAACATGTTCTCTGTGCCCTGACCCTGTTTCCAAGCGATAAGGACAAAGTAGAAACCTAGTCGATCCCATCTGGGCCCTCAGGGTCACTTGGGCCTCTTTATAGCCATCACTATGCTGCTTGCTCTTCTGAAATTATCAGTGAAGGTGTCTTGTTCCTCAGGAAACAAATGGAAGTGTGGATCAGTTTGCACTTACTTGCAGTGTTTCAAACCCCTTAAATCTCACATAGTCTGTAAGACAGAGATTTCTTTCTTCATTCCTCCCTCCCTCCCTCCCTCCCTCCCTCTTTCTTTCTCTCTCTCTCTCTCTCTCTCTCTCTCTCTCCTCCTCTTTCCCCTCTCCTTTCTCTCTCCTTCTTCTTTTTTTTTTTTTTTTTTAATTTTGCTCCTCTCCCTTCTTTGGAGCCTAGAATTTTCCTATTTATCCTCTCTGCCTGGCAGCCCTGCCTATCTGTCTCCTGCCTAGCTATTGGCCATTCAGCTCTTTCTTAGACCAATCTGGTGACCACCACTGCCTGGCTAAGAAAGAGATTTCAAAGTGCAAGTGTGTACATACACACAACAGCCCTATCTCTCTCTTAGGTGACTCAAGTGGGGAGCATTGTCAGAGCTCTATCCGAAAAGGCTCTCTCTCTCTCTCTCTCTCTCTCTCTCTCTCTCTCTCTCTCGCTCTCTCTCTCTCTCTCTCGCTCTCTCTCTCTCTCTCTCGCTCTCTCTCTCTCTCTCTCTGTGTGTGTGTGTGTGTGTGTGTGTGAACACTTGTATATAATGGAGTCTGTAAAAGGAACTTGATGGAGTCAATTTTCTCCTTCCACTGTGTAAGTCCTGAAGATCTAACTGGAATCGTTCAGCTTGGCACTTGACTCACCAAGCTCTCTTGCCTGTCCAAGACCAGTGCTCTTAGCACATAAAAGATGTGTTGAGCCATGCAAGCACCAAGGCTCGTGCTCCTCAGGGTCAGTGCCACAGCAAATATTCACTCTAGAGGAAGTTAGCATGGCTCCCCAAACCACGGTGTCAAAGCTACTTACAGCATTATCAGGGAGCTTGAGAATGTAGCCAGTGGCCATGCCTCATCCCCAGAGATGGGAGCAGAGTTCTGGTACTGAGGACTACAACAGGTCCTCACCACAGTTTTGCTGTCTGGGTTTCAGTCAGCCACTATGAAATGAAGTGCAAAAACACTCAATGGAAAATCCCACAAGCCATATCCACAGAACCTGGAGGACAGTATAGAGATGTAAGTGTTCTAGATTATTATTGGTCGTTGTTTATCTCTTACCCTGCTGTGCTTATAAATTGAACTCTATCACAGGTATGAATAGGAAATAACACAGAGAGTTGGAATTTTGAGCTGTTTGGGGTGTCCACTGGTCCTCTCAGATTGTCTTCCTATAGATGAAGGGGGTCTATTGGATATATAAAGATATTATAAAGTACCCCCAGATATTTTTAATGCACAGCTAAGAGTGGGAACTACAGCTGTCTGGCATTTTACCTAAAAGGCTCTGGCTGGAATAGTAGCAGAAATGTGGACGAGTGCCTTTGGATCTAGACAAAGCCACAACTCCCATGCAGCTCCACGGGTCTCTGACTTGCTTTATTGGCTGATTGGGGGAGAGTGCTATTGCCTCCAAGCCAAGGATCTGAAATCCAACCCAGCCCCATGTTTCCAAACACTTCTTAGGGAAAGCCAAGTTGATCTGCAATTTAAACATTTGCTGATACTCCCTGGGGAAACCTGTAATTAGCCTGGGGGCTGGGTGCTCTGAATAGTTTCATCCTCAAGGGGTAAGGATCCTTCTGCCATGCAGTCAGGTGATTTTATTTTATTTTTTGCAGCTGAGGTTTAAAAAGAAAAAGAAAAGGAAGATTGCTTTCCTAACCTCGAAACACATGGTTCAGGACCTTTCTAGAAAATCCACAAAGGTCCTGCTTGGAAGGGAATGTGAGCTGGGCATTGAAGTGTTTGTGAAGGAGAAGGAACAGTGTAGAAGAGGAGGGAACTGATGGAATAAGGGAGGAAGGAAAAGCTAGGTGAGGTGGAGGAGAGAGGAAGAGGAGCAAATAAAAGAGGGGAGGAAGAACGGGACTCAATTCAATGCTGGACCTTAGAAATAGAACTCTATTGTCATCCACCAATTCCATTTCTCTGTATAGAACATGGGGTAGGGAATCTACAGGAACTGAAATCAGAGACCCAGATGTCTGTGCTCCTGTGTTCCCAGCAGCAGTATCCACAACCAGCTAGAAGAGGAACATGGTGTTATTCATGCAATGTCCATTAGACCTAGAAAGGAAGCCCTTTGGATGCCTGCTACAACATGAAGCCTGAAACCATGTGCTGTAGAATGAGCCAGCCAGAGAAGGACAAGCATTGTACATAGTAGTCAAAAATCTATGAGAATGGGGGTCTCTGGGCTTGAGCCCTCTGACTTTCACATGCACTGGACAATGCAGGATCTAGCCAGGAGTGATGGCACATGCCTGTGATGCTGGTGCATAGGAGATGGAAATAGGAAAACTGTTCAAAACAAGCTGGGACAATATAGTTTCTAGCCTTCAGACTTGTGAACCAAATAAATCTCTATTCTTTTTTTTAAAGATTTTATTTATTTATTATGTATACAGCATTTTGCTTCCATATATATCTGCACACCAGAAGAAGGCACCAGATCATATAACGGATGGTTGTGAGCCACCATGTGGTTGCTGGGAACTGAACTCAGGACCTCTGGAAGAGCAGTCGGTGCTCTTAACCTCTGAGCCATCTCTCCAGCCCTAAATCTCTATTCTTTATAAATCTCCCAGCAACAGAAAGCAAAGTGTAGAGTTGTTTTGGGTTTGTGGACAGGCTCTCTGTCCAGCCCAGGCTGGCTTCAAACTCACCACTTCCTGCCTCCCTTCACCTCTGCCTCCAGAGTGCTGTAGTTACAAACAGGTGCCACAATATTGAGCCTGATGTCCAGAGTTCAGCTCACAATTATCGAACCTTCCATGGCATCTATCTCTCAAAGCTCCAGTGTAGCTCTCTTGCACAAACTATGTCAGCCAGACTTGGCCTAGAGTCCATTCTGCTCCCTCCCACCCACTGTCTGTTTGGAAGTCTCCTAGGCCCCATTGTGAGAGCGAGTTCCAAGGCACCTGGTCTGTGTTTCATAATTGCCTGTCTTTCTGCAGCTGGAGCAC